CTCTGCCCAGCTCAGAAAAGCTTAAGTGGAATTGCAGTAGCACTCTAATCTGTTTCACATGCATTGCTTTAAATACTAGAAAAATAGAAACTGTGTATTCCTGTGTTTTGAAAACAATTCTTCTTCTGTGCGGTGTAGACCAGTGCTTCTTGTTCCTTTTCAGAAAACAGCTTCAAGTTATGAGGTAACATTTAACCTTACTGTACAAACTGAGATTTAGCATCTAATCATATGTTCAATAAGAAACTTAAATGACACATTGTAAACCAATATAAAATGGCAAGTCAGAACATTAAAAAATCTAAACAGTTGAGTCTAGTTTTGATCAACTATTTCCAAGTTTTTCTGCCCATACTCAATGGCTATTTATACTTTTTAATTCTGTAGTAGATAAGTAATAGTGTGGAAAGGGTTTAAAAGCAATCTTTAGAAGAAATACTTAAAATTGAACAAATTCTATTTGTTAGTTTACATTATTCTACGTGCACATCAAAGAAAGGCCATTGTTACTTAATTCTGGCAGAATAGTTTGAGAAGCACTTTGCATGGATATTTTTCACTAATTTCCCCCTTTCTGAACTATATAAGCATTTGTCCTCTATTTGATGAATGTTTATGGGCACTTTCATTTATATACCTCCATCCAATTCTGGGTTCCCTAAGATACAGCATAGGATGTGGAATGCTGTGGTCTCTCCCTCTCAGGGCTTAGAGTTAGTCTTGGATAAGATAGGTAAGAAACTTGTTGATAGTACTTCTGTGTTACATTGGGTAAAGAGTATATTAGGCAGATTTAATTTGTGGATGTGAAAATACATTTTGGAATGCACATGCATAGGGAATATGTTTTTGTTTTTTTTTTTTTTTTAATTTTAAACATTGGAAGTATTCTAATATTACTTCACATTTTTTTATTTAAAATTTTTTTGTTTTGAGACATGGTCTCACTCTGTTGCCCAGGCTGGAGTGCAGTGGTGCAATCTCAGCTCACCACAGCCTCCCCGTCCTGGGTTCTAGCAGTTCTTCCACCTCAGCCTCCAGAATAGCTGGGACTACTAGTGGGTGCCACCATACCTGGCTAGTTTTCTTTTTTTCTTTTTTCGTTCTTTCTTTCTTTTTTTTTTTTTCTTGAGACAGAATTTCACTCTTGTTGCCTAGGCTGGAGTGCAATGGCACAATCTTGGCTCTCCACAATCTCCCCCTCCCAGGTTCAAGCTATTTTCCTGCCTCAGCCTTCCAAGTAGCTGGGATTGCAGGCATGTGCCACCATGCCTGTCTAATTTTGTATTTTTAGTAGAGACAGGATTTCTCCACGTTGGTCAGGCTGGTCTTGAACTCCCGACCTCAGGTGGTCCACCCGCTTCGGCTTCCCAAAGTGCTCCTGAAGTGCTGGCATAAGCCACCGTGCCTGGCAGTTTTTGTATTTTTTGTAGAGACAAGGTTTTGCCTTGTTGAACAGGCTGGTTTCCAACTCTTGACCTCAAGTGATCCACCAGCCTCAGCCACGCAAAGTGTAGGGATTACAGGTGTGAACCATTGTGCCTGGCCACATTTTAAGTTCTTAAAATGGAATCAGTCTCTTATAAATCATTTTGATCACTTGACATAATAATTTTTTAATGTGAAAAGTTGTTACTAAGTTGGTGGTTTGTCTTTCAAGATGTTATTTTAGAATCAGGGCATGAAGGATAGATGAGGCTATTATCTCATTTAATCCTCACAGCATCCCCATGTTACAGTTGAAAAGTTAATAAATTGATGGTTTGTCTTTCGGTAGATGTTATTTTACAGTTTGGGCAGCAAAGTCATTTATCAGGCTAGTGCTAGATACTCCACATAGTTTATTTCATTTAATCCTCACATCCCCATTTTACAGGTGAGAAAAATGTAGTTTTAGATTAAACGCTGCTAGATTACTCACTAGTGGAACAATAAGAAATTAAACTTCAAATCCAGTGTGCTTTTCAACCTTCTGTTCATAAATTAGAGAAGTCCTGTGGAAAGTCTTATAGCTTAAGACTGAATACTTTAGTTAATACAAGTAATAGTGATAACTCATTTCATGTAAATGTTTCTGATAGTTGGGTATGTCTTTTCATACAGGAGAGTAAGTATAAGAATGACCATTGAACTACAATCAGTTTCTAATCCAGTTCACAGAAAGGTTGGTATTTAGTTCTTTTTTGAAATATCATTTTGGTACACAGTAGATAATTTTGTTAAGAATGTGAGATATTGGCCGGGCGCGGTGGCTCAAGCCTGTAATCCCAGCACTTTGGGAGGCCAAGGCGGGTGGATCACGAGGTCAACAGATCGAGACCATCCTGGTCAACATGGTGAAACCCCGTCTCGACTAAAAATTACAAAAAATTAGCTGGGCACAGTGGCGTGTGCCTGTAATCCCAGCTACTCAGGAGGCTGAGGCAGGAGAATTGCCTGAACCCAGGGGGCGGAGGTTGCAGTGAGCCGAGATTGCGCCATTGCACTCCAGCCTGGGTAACAAGAGCGAAAATCCCTCTCAAAAAAAAAAAAAAAAAAGAATGTGAGATATTTTATTGTATTCATTTTGCCTTTTAATTTTTGGCTGTTTTGTAACTTGCAAATCAAGGGTGGTAGAGTCTACTGAGACAACAACTGAAAGATAATTATACCATATATTTCTTTCTTTCTTTTCTTTTTTGAGACAGAGTCTCACTCTGTCACCAGGCAGATTGCAGTGTGCGATCTCGGCTCACTACAACCTCCGCTTCTTGGATTCAAGCAATTCTCTTGCCTCAGCCTCCTCAGTAGCTGGGACTACAGGCGCATGCCACCACGCCCAGCTAATTTTTGTATTTTATAATAGAGATGGGGTTTCACCATGTGGCCAGGATAGTCTTGATCTCTTGACCTCGTGATCTGCCTGCCTCGGCCTCCCAAAGTGCTGGGATTATGGGTGTGAGCCACTGTACCCGGCCTATACCATTTATTTCTAAAATATACAAGAATTAGATTTGCCTAGTGCACTTAAGTTGCTGGAAAATACACACACACACACACACACGCACACGCAGCTGCCTTATAGAATTGGCATTTTATGGTGTAAATGTAAAAAGATAAACTGAAGTACTGTAAGGAGATATTTGTGAATCTTTTACTTTACATTTTGAAGAGAGGCATTTAGAGTATTAGTCTCATATAACCTTCAGAAGCATGAGTCATTAACAGAACTAAGGATATAGCATAGAGCAGGGATCCCCAACCTCCTGGCCACTTACTGGTATGGTCCCTGGCCTGTTAGGAGCTAGGCTGCACAGCAGGAGGTGAGTGGTAGGCAGGTTAGCAAGCATTACCTTCTATGATCTGCCTCCTGTCAGATCAGTGGTAGCATTAGAGTCAGTCTCATAGGAGTGCCAACCCTATTGTGAACTGCACATGCAAGGGATCTCAGTTGCATGCTTCTTATTTAAGTAATGCCTGATCTGAGGTGAAAGTTTCATCCTGAAACCATCCTTCACCCCCCAATTCTTGGAAAAATTGTCTTCTACACAATAGTTCTCTAGTGCCAAAAAGGTCGGGGACCATTGAAACAGAGAACTAAGAAATATAACATCTGTGCCAAGCACGGTGGCTCACATCTGTAATCCCAGCACTTTGGGTGGCTGGGTAGGCAGATTGTTTGAGGCAGGAGTTTGAGACCAGTGTGGGCAACATGGTGAAATCCAATCTCTACAAAAAAAAAAAATATATATATATATATATATATATACACAAATCAGCTGAATGTGGTGGCATACTCCTGTAGTTCCAGCTACTTGAGAGGCTGAGGTGGGAGGATCACTTGAGCTTAGGAGGTTGAGGCTTCAGTGAGCTGTGATGGTGCCACTGCAATCCAGACTGAGTGACAGTGTGAGACCCCATGTCGAAAGAAACACCAAAATATAGCATCTGTTTTCTGTGAGCCATAGCTTTCCCTGAACACATTCAAGGACCTAATGGTATTAGTAGTACCTTTGGTTTTTTAAGTAGCATCCCAAGTGAATATCAGGAAGTACTTAAATGGAAGCTACTTAAGAACAAGGTATTCTGTGGCAGAGCAGGTGCCTGAATTACTAATTTTCTGGGGTAAAGATTATAAATTGTACTTTTTACATGTTATTCCTTATGTCTGCTATACCTCTTCATTTTCTAGCTTTGTGCATAAGTGGTTTAGATTTTTCTAGGACAGCATTTCCTAAGTAGCCATGAGTAGAGATTTTATTTCAAATGTGTTCTTAACCTTAATGTCTAGTTCTTTATTAGTTTTACATCATCTTGTAAATAATGCTGTTTTTCTTTCACCAGTGTTTTCGGCGTACTTTTTGTGAGCTTTAGCTGTTGCGATGATCTCCCACACTGTGTACACTTAGCTACCTGGAAAGTGGTCTTTGTGAAAGGAACCTACTTCATTTGAGACTGAACACAGATGGGGTTTCACATCAGTGGCCACCTGGCCTAGGAGAGAATAGGCCCTTTGGAAGAGGACTGGCAACGTGTCACCTGATACCACTGTCCTCTATCTGAGAGACAGAAGTTCCCTTTTGTCTAGTGTGGATTATTGTATGTCAGTTCTGCTGATATATTTTCCACTTTTAAAATGCCAGACCAGTTAATTTTAAGGGAAACTAAAAATTAATGTGGTATGTTCAGTGGTAAAGAAAATTTTCATTATCATGTTATGGTGTAGCAAGGACTGGAACTAAATTTTCCTAAGCCTCTGATAGGATCAGATTCCTAAACTTTGAACTCCTAGCACTTAACTTTTACAGACCTCCATGTGGTTCTCAAAGAACATTATGTCTACTCCTATTTAAGATTCTAACTCTCTAAAGACTAATAAGAAACCAGCAGCACTACAAAACAGCTCTCTGCAATCTAACTGTGACACATGGATGTTATTGGATCTTTTTACTTGAGTAGGTAATTTCTTCTTACTCAAAAAGTAATCTAGTAAAAACATTTAAAAACAAACTTTCTTTTAGGACTTAGTTATTCGTCTGACTGATGACACGGATCCATTTTTTCTATATAACCTTGTTATATCTGAGGAAGATTTTCAAAGGTAACTAAATTTTTTTCTGATCTTATATTTAATAAAACAATAAGTTTCTGAGTTTTATGAATGTATTGGTACTATTCTCTCAAACACATACCTATGTATTAGATTTAGTTACTTTGGGAATATCGGGCTATTTGTACTATATTTACTTAGGGTGTTTTGGAAAATAAATATTTTGTGGATTATTAGAATTATGCTTAAAAGACCTGAGAAGTTTGAAGCTTTTGCTGAATTTATTGATCTTTTTTCTTGTCGTTGAATAAGTTGTAAAAAAAAAAATCAGAATTCCTTATCTCCGTTCTTGATTATAACAAGTGTTAGTAAATTTAAAAAAATAATCAGGATGATAATTATAATTAAAGACAGTAATTGGCTGGGCTTGGTGGCTCACGCCTGTAATCCCAGCACTTTGGGAGGCTGAGGTGGGTGGATCATGAGGTCAGGAGTCCAAGACCAGCCTGACCAACATGGTGAAACCCCATCTCTACTAAAAATACAAAACTTAGCCAGGTGCGGTGGTGCACACCTCTAATCTCAGTTACTCAAGAGGCTGTGGCAGGAGAATTGCTTGAACCTGGAAGGCGGAGGTTGCAGTGAGCAAGATCTCACCACTGCACTCCAGCCTGGGAGACAGAGCAAGACTCTATCTCAAAAAAAAGATAGCAATTAAATTTTTAAAAAATTTCTTTTCCTTTCTTCTGTATAGTTTAAAATTCCAGCAAGGTCTTCTGGTAGACTTCTTAGATTTCCCACAAAAATTTATAGATCTCCTTCAGCAATGTACTCAAGAACATGCCAAAGAAATTCCAAGGTAAGTTGCATGAGAACACTATTACATTTAATTCAAGACAAACTCTTCCTTGAAACACAGCAAAATCTTTTCCATCTGTTATGAGTATCCCTGTTTATTTTTAGAACTGGGGTTAGGGCTCCATTAAATCTCAAATTTTAAGGAATCTTGAATAAAATCAGAACTATTGCTTAATTTACATGTCTTGACAAAGGCACTAAAGTTTTCTGAAGTATTTAATAGCATCAATTATTTGGTTTTATAATTTGGAAAAAGGGAAGACTAAGATTTTATGTGTGTATGGTGCTAGTGCCTGATTCTTTTATTGTAAAGTTTACCATCAACCTTTTATTTATTGGTTTCATCAGTTGATGATTGTTGTTGAATCAGTTATTTCATTAGAAAGAACAAAATGATGCTTTTCTATCATTTTTCTTCTGTATTAAGTATAATTCTTCTATAAAGAAGAACTTTTCCTCAGCAATTAGGGCTATTTGATTACTCAGAAAATTCATACAGAAAGGATAAATGCTTAATTCTTACATTTAAATTGTCGTTTTTTAGAGTAAAGAACTGGTAGTCTATTTCTGTGGTACTCAGTGATTTTTGTTTTTTGTTTTTGCTTTTTCTCTCATTTGTTTCTCATGAACTCATGGACTTTTATATAGTAACTATGCTTTCAATGAATCTTTTATTTTTGCCCAATTTATCTTATATTTTACCATTCGGAGTCCTTTCATATTGGCCCCTATGATTTCAATATGCTCCCTTGCCTGATCTTTTTGAGTAGAGAACCTTTGATTCAGTGAGAGATTTTCACTATCTCCTAATGTGTTATAATGTTACATTTTGTTTTTCAAAGGTTTTTGCTACAGTTAGTTTCTCCAGCAGCTATTTTGGATAACTCACCTGCATTTTTAAATGTGTAGAGACAAATCCTTTTAAGCATCTTACACACCTCTCATTAAAACTTTTACCTGGAAATGATGTGGCGATAAAGAAATTTCTAGCAGGCTGTTTGAAATGTAGCAAGGTAAGATTTAAATTTAAGTTATTATTTTAATGAAGTAAGTATCAATAATCTGATAAATTATTGAAGATATACAATGCCGTAAATTTTTGTTATCTAAATAAAGTTTTATGACATATAATGAATTTATTGTTTTTTATTTAGTCAAGGTATGGTGGGGATGGAGCTGGACCAGGAATTGAGAAGCTTAGGTTTCAGGGTTTTTATATGTGACTTTGGACACGACACTTAAACTGTTCTGTCATGGTTTCATCAACTGGTAGACATGTATGGCAATAGCTACCCATCTAGCCCATCTTAAATGAGATAAGATAAATGGAAATGTCTTGAAAACTACAAAATGCTGTATGGCACAAGGAAACAACAAAGGGATGCTGCTTGAGTTTTTAGAGACTTTCCAGTCGAATGCTATAGATCGGTGCATCTCAAACTTTAAATTATCTGAGGATCTTGTTAAAATGATTTAGGTCTGAGACGGAGCCTGAGAATCTGCATTTCTAACGGGCTTCCAGGATGATGCTCTACTTTGAGTAGCATGGCTACAGATGATTACATTGAAAACTGTAATTTTGTTATTGTTATGAATAGGAAGAAAAATTATCATTGATGCAATCACTAGATGATGTTGCTAAGCAACTGGACTTTACACAAAAGGTAATTCCGATTTCATTTTGTCTTCATAAGTCATCCAGACATTGGCGTTGAATTGCTTCTTGACTCAGTTCAAGCTTTTATGTATTTTCTTTCTTTCTTTTTTTTTTTTTAAATTGCATTTTAGGTTTTGGGGTACATGTGCAGAACATGCAAGATAGTTGCATAGGTACACACATGGCAGTGTGTTTTGCTGCCTTCCTCCCCTTCATCCACATTTGGCATTTCTCCCCAGTCTATCCCTCCCCAGCACCACCCCCCGCTGTCCCTCCCCTGTTCCCCCTAATAGACCCCAGTGTGTAGTACTCCCCTCTCTGTGTCCATGTGTTCTCATTGTTCATCACCCGCCTATAAGTGAGAATATGCGGTATTTCATTTCTGTTCTTGTGTCAGTTTGCTGAGAATGATGTTCTCCAGATTCATCCATGTCCCTACAAAGGACACGAACTCATCATTTTATATTGCTGCATAATATTCCATGGTGTATATGTCATCCTCTCCAGCATCTGTTGTCTCCAGATTTTTTGATGATCGCCGTTCTAACTGGCGTGAGATGGTATCTCAATGTGGCTTTGATTTGCATCTCTCTAATGACCAGTGATGATGAGCATTTTTTCATATGTTTGTTGGCCTCATGTATGTCTTCTTTTGTAAAATGTCTGTTCATATCCTTTGACCGTTTTTGAATGGGCTTGTTTGTTTTTTTCCTGTAAATCTGTTTGAGTTCTTGGTAAATTCTGGATATCAGCTCTTTGTCAGATGGGTAAACTGCAAAAATTTATTCCCATTCTGTTGGTTGCCGATTCACTCTAGTGACTGTTTCTTTTGCCGTGCAGAAGCTGTGGAGTTTGATTACGTCCCATTTGTCTATTTTGGCTTTTGTTGCCAATGCTTTTGGTGTTTTGGTCGTGAAGTCCTTGCCTACTCCTATGTCCTGAATGGTTTTGCCTAGATTTTCTTCTAGGGTTTTTATGGTGCCAGGTTTTATGTCTAAGTCTTTAATCCATCTGGAGTTAATTTTAGTGTAAGGTGTCAGGAAGGGGTCCAGTTTCTGCTTCCTGCACATGACTAGCCAGTTATCCCAACACCATTTATTAAACAGGGAATCCTTTCCCCATTGCTTGTTTTTGTCAGGTTTATCAAAGATTGTATGGTTGTAGATATGTTGTGTTGCCTCCAATGCCTTTGTTCTGTTCCACTGGTCTATATCTCTGTTTTGGTACCAGTACCATGCTGTTTTGATTACTGTAGCCTTGTAGTATAGTTTGAAGTCCGGTAGTGTGATGCCTTCTGCTGTGTTCTTTATGCTTAGAATTGACTTTGCTATGCGGGCTCTTTTGGTTCCATATGAAGTTCATGGTGGTTTTTTTCCAGTTCTGTGAAGAAAGTTGATGGTAGCTTCACGGGGATAGCATTGATTCTGTAAATTACTTTGGGCAGTGTAGCCCTTTTCACGATATTGATTCTTCCTAACCATGAACATGGAATGTTTCTCCATCTGTTTGTGTCCTCTCTTATTTCGTTGAGCAGTGGTTTGTAGTTTTTCTTAAAGAGGTCCCTTATGTTCCTTGTGAGTTGTATTCCTAGGTATTTTATTCTTTTTGTAGCAATTGTGAATGGCAGTTCATTCTTGATTTGGCTCTCTTTAAGTCTGTTATTGGTGTATAGGAATGCTTGTGATTTTTGCACATTGATTTTATATCCTTAGACTTTGCTGAAGTTGCTTATCAGTTTCAGGAGTTTTTGGGTTGAGGCGATGGGGTCTTCTAGGTATACTATCATGTCGTCTGCAAATAGAGACAATTTGGCTTCCACCTTTCCTATTTGAATACCCTTTATTTCTTTTTTTTGCCTGATTGCTCTGGCTAGAACTTCCAGTACTATATTGAATAGGAGTGGTGAGAGAGGGCATCCTTGTCTAGTGCCAGATTTCAAAGGGAATGCTTCCAGTTTTTGCCCATTCAGTATATTGGCTGTTGGTTTGTTGTAAATAGCTTTTATTACTTTGAGATACGTTCCATCGATACTGAGTTTATGGAGGGTTTTTAGCATAAAGGGCTATTGAATTTTGTCAAATGCCTTCTCTGCGTCAATTGAGATAATCATGTGGTTTTCGGTTTTGGTTCTGTTTATGTGGTGAATTACGTTTATAGACTTGCGTATGTTGAAACAGCCTTGCATCTCCAGGATGAATCCTACTTGATAATGATGGATAAGTTTCTTGATGTGCTGTTGCAATTGGTTTGCCAGTATTTTATTTAAGATTTTTGCATCTATGTTCATCATGGATATTGGCCTGAAGTTTTCTTTTCTTGTTGAGTCTCTGCCCGGTTTTGGTATCAGGATGATGTTGGTCTCATAAAATGATTTCGGAAGCATTCCCTCTTTTTGGATTATTTGGAATAGTTTCAGAAGGAATGGTACCAGCTCCTCTTTGTGTGTCTGGTAGAATTTGGCTGTGAATCCATCTGGACCTGGGCTTTTTTTGTGTGGTAGGCTCTTAATTGCTGCCTCAACTTCAGACCTTGTTATTGGTCTATTCATAGTTTCAGCTTCCTCCTGGTTTAGGCTTGGGAGGACACAGGTGTCCAGGAATTTATCCATTTCTTCCAGGTTTACTAGTTTATGTGCATAGAGTTGTTTGTAATATTCTCTGATGATGGTTTGAATTTCTGTGGAATCTGTGGTGATTTCCCCTTTATCGTTTTTTTATTGCATCTATTTGGTTGTTCTCTCTTTTCTTTTTTATCAGTCTGGCTAGTAGTCTGTCTATTTTGTTGATCTTTTCAAAAAACAAGCTCTTGGATTTACTGATTTTTTTGAAGGGTTTTTCGTGTCTGTATATTTTCCTCTGGAGACTGCGTTATAGTGTCCCAGAGTTTCTGTTGTGTCTTCGTTCTCGTTGGTTTCGAAGAACTTCTTTATTTCTGCCTTCATTTCATTATTTATCCAATTAACATTCAAGAGCCAGTTGTTCAGTTTCCATGAAGCTGTGCGGTTCTGAGTTAGTTTCTGAATTCTGAGTTCTAACTTGATTGCACTATGGTCTGAGAGACTGTTTGTTATGATTTCAGTTGTTTTGCATTTGCTGAGGAGTGCTTTACTTCCAATTATGTGGTCAATTTCAAAGTAGGTGTGATGTGGTACCGAGAAGAATGTATATTCTGTGGATTTGGGGTGGAGAGTTCTGTAAATGTCTATCAGGTTTGCTTGTTCCAGATCTGAGTTCAAGTTACATTTGCTTTTGGGTTCTTAGTCATGAATTAGTTGCCTAAGCCAAAGTCTAGAAGAATTTTTCTGATACTACCTTTTAGAATTTTTGTGACTTCAGGTCTTAGAATTAAGTCTTTGATTCATCTTGAGTTGATTTTTGTTTAAGATGCAGGTGGGGATCCAGGTTTATTCTTCTCTTTTCCCAGCACCATTTATTGAATTCGGTGTCCTTTCTCCACTTTTTGTTTTTGTATGCTTTGTCAAAGATCAGCTAGTTGTAAGCATTTGGCTTTCTTTTTTTCCCAGATTCTCTATTCTGCTCAATTGGGCTATGTGCCTATTTTTATACCAGTACCGTGCTGTTTAGGTATCTCTAGCCTGGTAGTATAATTTGAAGTTGGGTAATGTGATGCTTCCAGATTTGTTCTTTTTGCTTAGTATTGCTTTGGCTATGTGGGCTCTTTATGGGTTCCTAATGAATTTTAAGAATTGTTTTTTAGTTCTGTGAATAATAATCATGGTACTTTGATGGAAATTGCATTGAATCTGTTGATTTCTTTGGGCAGTATTGTCATTTCACATAAATTCTGATCATTGATACACTTTTTTTCTCAATAAATGAAGAAATTTAAAAATTAGAGCAAGAACCATATTATTCCATTATTTATTAAATATATCTTAGATGTCTTCTTAATAATGATCTGTCATATATGTATAAACACATACACACACACACACACACACACACACACACACAGACTCTTAAACAACACAGGACTTAAGAGTGCTGACACCCATGCCATCAGAATTCCACAAATAACTTTTGACTCTCCCAAAATTTAACTGCTGATAGGTTACTGTTGGCCAGAAGCCTTACCAATAACATAAGCAGTTAAGTAATACATTTGTGTGTGTGTGTTATATGTATCATATGCTGTATTCATAAACTAAACTAGAGAATTTTATTAAGAAAATAACAAGGAAGCAAAATATATTTACTATTCATTAAGTAGAATTGGATCATCAGAAAACTCTTCATCCTTGTCTTCAACTTTGATAGGCTGAGAAAAAAGGGGAAGAGGAGGGGTTGGTGTTGTCGTCCCAGAGTCATAGAGTTGGAAGAAAATTTGCATACAGGTGAATCTAAGTAGTTCAAACCTGTGTTACTCCTTTTGTTCGAGGGTCAGCTGTGTGTTTGTATGTATGTGTTTGTGTGTGTGATACTTTCTGAGGTCTTAGACAATGAAATGAATGCAAACATAAGCCCAAACGTAGGGGAACAGGTAGATTTTGCGTTATTACTCTCCCTTATAACGTATTAATAATATGCTTCAACAATCTTAATTACTTCAATGACCTTCTTAATTTAACAGATTCAACCTTCTCTGTAATTTTGCCAGAATAATTGGATGACTAGGCATTGCATGTACCTAAATAAATTAGGCATTTTAATAAAAACTCATTATTTTACAGTTCATTAGACAGAAAGTTCTATTTTTTCTTATTTTCAATCATACTATGGTGTTCAATGTTAAAAACCATACTTTGTGTTTTACATTTGTGTTGTTCACAATGTAAAATTCAAGTCGATTCTAAACTAGTGATAAGACATTTATATTGTATTGAAAGGTATCATTTTAAATTTTCTGAGTCTGAGAGAACTTGTGCAGTTGATCAAATCAATTAGTAGGACTAATGAGAATTTAATTTACTTTCCCTTTCCATTTTATTTGCATGGAAAATTGTATGAGTTTCATGGATTCTAGTTTGGCTCTTACAAATTGTTCATGTTTCTAGAGCAAGATGGCCTTAATATTTCCCTCAGCTTGACTAAACTTTAGGTAGGTTTAGTCCTGACTCTAGGCCTATAACCTTCCTATTCTTAGAGCACTTACTTTAGAAAACTTGTAAATTCTTTCTCTGCCTCTTTGAAATGTAAATCTTTTTACAAGCTTCTCAGTAGTTTTACAGACCTCGAGAACCTGGGAACTATCTATTTAAAATGCAATCAACAAGAAGAAAATAAACTCTATAGTCCTATTTTTGTAGACTATTAGAAACCTAATTTGGCAGACATCTTGCTCCAAGTTGTAAAATGATCTCTTGTCATAAAGATATGAAAATTTTGCTTTTCATTTGGGTAAGGCCAATTAGCACACACAGATGGCCTAAGACTTCCCCTTTCCATTTCTTTAGCTCTGAAGAATACTTCTGCTTTGTTTCAGAGGAGTTGAGCTCAGACTGAGACCTGGCATCTGGCTCCTATTTCAATCACTTTAAATAATGTCTTCCTCACCTGTTTTTGACTGTTGTCATTTTTGTTTTGACATCATAAATTATTTATATGCCCTCATGTTTTATTTTCATATAAGCTCTTGAATCGTTAGATGAATGTTGCTCTTGAGTACAGAGTATAATTTAATACTCCTTTAAATAAGTTCATTTGAAGTATAAACTTCCCACAGGCAGGGATATAATCCAATATACCTGTATAATTCTTTTCTCTGTATTACCTGTTGTAATTATTCTCACATAGAAAGCTTAACAAATCTATAAATTAGTCAACTTCAAATAATAAATGTTTTTAATAAAATTCTATTGTGAAAACATTCAATAATTGTAATACTTTTAAAAAAGTGATATCACCATGAAACTGTAGATAAGGCTACATGAAAATATAATTTCATATTGTGCTACCCTCCCCCACCCCCAATTAAAAAAAAACTGATCAAAGCAATACTTGAAATGACTGTGAATTCATTTTTAAACATGGAAATAAAGAAATGAAGCTTAAACCATTCAATCTTGGCATCTTTATCCAATGCATCTATACTAAAGATTCAGGCAAGTTTGGGAATCGAGAGGATTATTAGACTCCTGCACTTTGAATTGCAGGTAACCAAAACTCATCTCAAGCTGGCTCATGTAATATCAAGGACCAGGAATAGGTCTGGCTTGAGCTGAGCTGCATCCACGTGCTAAAATTATATTTTCAGAACACTTTCCTTCTCTCTGTCTCTTGATTTTTGCCTCTTGGTTGGGTTTAGTCTTAGGCAGTCTCTCTCTTATTGGCAAAATGCCTTTTGAAGTTTACATTCTCTCACATAAGCAATTTCCCACCTGCCTCAGTGTCTTAAACTAGAATATCCATTTCCTAATATGTTATTCTACTAAAAGTCATCAGTTTAAATCTTTGCAGACAGGCTTGGTTGAAAAGCAATCCCTAAATGAAATCAATATGGTGGGAGAAATGGGGTATCTTGCCTGGAATATAGACTTGTTTCTGTGTCCTGGGGGTGGATTCCTACCTAACAACTCACAGAAACTTGAGAGAAAATATGGAGATGCACATTACAAGGAACAACAACTTATCCTCTCCCTTTGCATTTTGCTCTGAAGAACTTCATGAGGAGAAAATTCTCTCTGAGGAAGGACACGGTAAAGGCACTTGAGCTGGCCCACGTCAGTGGTTATATTTCTCACAGGTAGGCTCATTCTTGGTACAACTGTTGCTAGTGTTGTCTGTTTAGGTTATCCTCTTGAAAACCTTCAAAATTCTTCACGTAATATGGGCATTGGGAGCTACAATAAATACAATAAAAATATAAATTGAGAGTTCTCTCTTTTTCTGAAATATTTATAGAAATTGCAGACACGAATCCTTGGATTCACATATATTTACTGGATTTCTATGGTGTTCTAGTCATACCAATGGGCAATAGAATAATAACAATAATAAAACAACTAAGTAGATATGATTCCTGACTGTGAGGATTCTGCATTGTACAGAAGAGATCAATTACAAACAATGAAAAGGTTTAGAAAAAATAGTATTGAGATGGTTAACCTTGTACAGTATTGGACTATTGGTAGCACATGGGATTACTAAAAAATGGCAAATCAGCAGAAATCATATTTAACATGGGAAAGGCTAAAGACATTGCCACACCTTCTGGAATTTAGCAAACTCTGCATAAACAAGAGAAAACAGGAAAAACGACAAATCCTACATTGTAGCCAGAATAATTGTTTGTTCATAGTTTAATTGAATGAAGGAACTTGAGAGAAGGAAAAGGAAGAGCAAATTTAGGATAAGGTGATGAGACAGTGCAATGCTGTTTTGTATAATTGCATTTGAAAATACATCCAAGTTTTGAGACAAGCTATTCAGACTAGGGGAAATTAAAAGTTACTTTCTGTTAAAAGCTAATACTTCCTGAAAATAATGGATTTAACACTTACATTGAAACTAAAATATTTTCCACTCATTTTCTTTATCTCTATCTTCCTTTTCCCTTTGTCTGTCTCTTTTTCACTCATTTATTTCATTTTTTGCTTTCTATATTTGCCCAAAGGTATTTTATTGGTATTGGTGGCTACTATGTATTATAGAGATTAGCTCTAATCTCCATATCTACTAATATAACATATAAATAATCAAGATAAGGAATGTTATTCAAATGAGTATTGATGAAACTGCACACTATGTAAACTGTTGATAACAAAAGTAACAATGTGACATAGAAAACAAGAAATCAAATTAATAGCTGTGTAAAACCGTGAGTATGTATGTCTGAAGCATGAGTTTGAGAAAAACTGTAATGGGCTTGACATGTGTGGAAAATCTGTGACTTAGATCTTAGCATCATTAGTCAGGTAAAAAAACACTACAGACTAAATCAAAGACAACCAACACTGCAAGTCTGGAAATAAACCAAAAAAAAGAATTGTCCCCTTGCCTCCTGCCAATATACCTTTAAGGAAATAGTGCCCTGGGAAATGATTTACTCACTTCAAGGATAAAACGAGAAGAGAGATGGTAAAAGTTCAATAAATCGGCGGGCACGGTCGCTCACACCTGTAATCCCAGCACCTTGGGAGGCCGAGGCGGGTGGATCCTGAGGTCAAGAGATCGAGACTATCCTGGTCAACATGGTGAAACCCCGTCTCTACTAAAAATACAAAAAAATTAGCTGGGCATGGTGGCGCGTGCCTGTAATCCCAGCTACTCGGGAGGCTGAGGCAGGAGAATTGCCTGAACCCAGGAGGCGGAGGTTGCGGTAAGCCGAGATAGTGCCATTGCCTTCCAGCCTAGGTAATAAGAGCGAAACTCCGTCTCAAAAAAAAAAAAGTTCAATAAATCATTGGTGTGCTAAATGATGACAAACCCAAATCAACAGGTTTCATTATAGTCGATTTCTGAAGCTGATACTACATAAGTAATAGTTTAATACTTTTTTTTTTATTTTTTTGAGACAGAGTTTCACTGTTGTTACCCAGGCTGGAGTGCAATGGCACGATCTCGGCTCACCGCAACCTCCGCCTTCTGGGTTCAAGCAATTCTCCTGCCTCAGCCTCCCGAGTAGCTGGGACTACAGGCGCTCACCACCATGCCCAGCTAATTTTTTGTATTTTTAGTAGAGACGGAGTTTCACCTCGTTGACCAGATGGTCTCGATCTGTTGACCTCGTGATCCACCTGCCTCGGCCTCCCAAAGTGCTGGGATTATAGGCGTGAGCCACCGCTCCTGGCCTAGTTTAATACGTTTTTTCTTTATTTCTCCACAGTATTTTTGAAATATTAGGAACTTAACTGCAATTGTTTATTGGAACACTGACTTCCTCGCTTGTTAGAAAGGGGATACTACTGCTCATTGAAGGGTTTATTGCACCCCTAGTTTTTACTTATGTCAATCATAAGCCTACAGATGATTTTGAGTTCATTTACACAAATCATTTAAATTTCAAATCTCTTTGTGAATCTCTCTTGTCAGAATCACCCTACAACTATAAAGATACTATCTATTCTTTGGTATTCTTTCCTGTGGCTTTCTTTTATTGTTTTTGATGAAGTGAGTGAACCTTCAGCCCTTCTTCCTAGAATTACCCATACCTCCCACAGCGCTAAGTTTTAAAATTAATGGAAAGACAACTGTATGCACTCACAATCTGTCAGACTGTAAAAACTGTATCAGTATGATGGGTCATAAATATTAGAATTTATTCTATTATAATTCTTTTGATGAATAGCAAAATACCAATACAAATAATGAGTAGTTCTGGGAAGAGCTTTTTGAAATATATAACAAGAAAGAAAGGGACTTGTTAGTTTTCACTTTGAACACATTACACACTTAAAGTATAAACATAAAAGATTTTGACCATGCTACAAATCCCTGACTGAGGTTTATTTTGAGAGAGGAAAACATGTCAATGGACACATGACATTTTACAGGCATTTCTCAGAATAATTGAATTTCTTAAAATCTTTTTTTTAATGATTAGCTTTATGAAAACAATTTTCAATACAATTTATATGAAAAATCATTTTAGCCTAACTCCACATTAATAGTATTTCAGGGAAAAATTTTAGAAATAACAGCATATTCAATGTTACTGGTACCGAATTATCACATATTCTAAAATACTTAGGACTACTATCATTTAACTAGGATAATTGTTAATATCTCTGGAAATAATCTTTTGCAGAGATATCATCATGTCAGTAAATCGTTGTTGCCTTTATTTTGGTTCCATCTGTCTTCTAAAGTGTATGATACAATCCCTATGGACCTTATTGTGGTGTGAGAAACTTACTGGAATACTGTATCTACGTGCTGAAAACTACACAAAGACAGTAATTAAAAGTTAGAGACAATGTTAACATTAGAGACAATGTTAATATTGTTCCAAACATATATATATTTATTTAAGTATTTTTATGCAGAGACGAAAGTAAATAAAACTTTTATTAGTAGTTCAATGAAATTTTGTTTTTGAAAAGAATTATGAGAAGACCAAGGGGAATCTTGGCAAGTTTAGGCAGTCTTATTAAATATTACATTTTCAAGGGTAAGGGCAAATACAAATTAAAAATAACAACCCTAATTCTCCTAACTGGAAATAAGGGAAGAAATTTTCATCTCTTCTGTTTTTTTTTTTTTTTTTTTTTTTCTTTAAATTGTGATTGCAAGTACTTCATCCTCTTTTTGAAATGTATAAAAATTCTTTTCAAAACTAAACAGTACTTTTGAAAACTGAATAGACCTCTTGTCAGCTTTATGCCCTAGGAATGTCTTTTTCATGGACCTATATATAAATAGCAAGAAAGACAGCACTCCTTTTTCCCAATTTCTGTTGGAGGACAGGAGGCTAATTTTAGTGGAAGCCTTGATCCAAGTGGCAAAGAAACCTGCCACCTGTCATAAAGCTATGAGAAGTGTGATTTTCCTCCGGACAGAAACAGTAAGCTAACACAAATGTTCACCCCAATTGCTACATTGAACCTAGGATCACTACTTATGACAAACAATGCTATCAAGTCCTTTTACTTGAAGACTAATTTATTGTTTATCTTCAAAGCATGTATGTCAAAGGTGGTATCTGTTTGGCTATGAAAGGGTGAGATTTCTTTATGTTTGTCATCTCCTAGTGGATTTTCTGAATGCACATTAAAGTTTGGTTTAATGCTTAATAATAAAACTTTTTTTTTTTTGGAGGGAGTCTCACTGTTGCTCAGACTGGAGTGCTGAGGTGCAATTTTGGCTCACAGCAACCTCTAACTCCATGGTTCAAGCAATTCTCCTGCTTCAGCCTCTTGAGTAGCTGGGACAACAGGTATGTGCCACCATGCCCAGCTAAATTTTGTGTTTTTAGTAGAGACCTGGTTGCACCATGTTGGCTAGGCTGGTTTCGATCTCCTGACCTCATGATCTGCCTGTCTTGGTCTCCCAAAGTGCTAGGATTACAGGTGTGAACCATCATGCCCAGCCTTTTTTTTTTTTTTTCTTTTACCTCTGTGGAAGTGTTTCTTGGTTGGGAGATTTTGCTTTTTATTTATTTTCCTAAAAAGGGTCATTAACATTTTTGTTGCCCTCCCCACTATGATTTAAGGATCAATAGGTATAAAGGGATCACTATATATTAACTATACTTTATTAACATTTACAGAAACAGTAGCATGGGGAGAGATATGAAACACAAATATATTTTATAGAACCATTGTAATATAGTTCTGAGTTTCACCTGTAAAGGTCTTCAATCTTTATTAAAGTGATTTTTCCCCCTATTGAATGGCACGTTAGAATCAAGGTAAACTGTTGAGAAAGATCCCATATCATATTCTAGGGATATTAGTATTTATTTGAGAGGTTATTCCTAGTAGTATTATAGTCTTGGCTATCAACTTTGAAAGCCCACATGTAATTTCTGGCCGAATCTGCAGTGTCTGATGATTTGTCGGTATGCCATATGCCCTGCAAATAATCTATGCAAGACAACTTCCTGACTACTTTCCAAAAAAGTGATTTTTTTCATAAGAAGTATATCCTAGATGACTAAAAAACTCAGTAAGACCCCTTAAATTTATGAGACTATTGTCAGATGTATAATACATCTCTAATATAGTCTAAGATTGAATAGAGTAAAAGATTGAACAAAGAAACCGATAACATGGAAATCGAGTTCATCAAATTATATTAAAAATAGTATATTCAGTTCTGCAAAACATATTTTAAAACACATTTCAAAAATGAACCATTATAAACTTTAGTTCTTCCAAAACAGAACTGATAAGATAGTGTGAAATTTTAAAACTATGTCACACGAAGGACCAACTTTTTACTTCATGTTTAAATTTTTATCATTTACCATTTGCAAATGGTATAGGGAATAGTGATATGAGTATGTTAAATGTATTTTTCCCTTTAGAGGCTTTTCACTGAAGTAGAATGGATAAGACATATTCACAAATATTTGTGTATAAGTAGATTTATTTAGAAGCCAAAATAGTCTTCGACTAATTTATCCTTCTGTCACTTTCTCTATGCCTCAAGAGGATAAATAAAAGGTGGGGGGAGGCAGTTCTTAACTTCCTTGTGTGGCTAATTATTTGATTTAATATATTTAACTGGAAGAAAGGGACTATATTAATTTCAACATCTCCAATGGATGACACCCACCGTAATACGGAACTGTATATTCAGCTACTTCATGCTGAAGTAAAACTAATCCCAAAATATCAGAAACTAACCAAATGAAAGTTTACATCTCATTAACAAGAAACTCAGATTTTTTTTTTCAGACTTCATTGGGAATCTATCCCTCATGTTTCATAATTAGAAACACATTTACCAGTTTATTAGAATATTACAAAAGATAGAGATGAAGAGTTACATAAGGCAGGCCATGTGAGAAGAGTCCATTGAGGAGCTTCTATGCCCTCCCCAAGGCCTCACCCTCTGGGAACCATCACATGTTCAACTCTCAAGAAGTTCTTTGAATCCTGTCTTGTTTGGCTCACCATCTATTTCTATCCATGATACCTACATCATGGAAAACTTACTTGATTTAAATGTGGATTAAAGTTTGAAATTGTTTTCCCCAAAATGTGTATTAAGTAAATAGTTTGCAATTATTAAACTACTAGTGACTGACTCTGTATTTCTGACTATTTTAAGATATTAAAATGCATTATCGTAGAACAAAAAGTGCAATAATAAAACCATTTCTATTGTAAGTTCATTAAAGCCTTACTATTTAAGTGAGGAATAAAATATCAATTAGTTTAAAAATCCATTTAAAATACATTTTCCTAGAAAATATTTTCTAAAATCAAAATTTTCTAATTCATAATTAATATTTAATAGAAAAAAGGTTTTCTCAGTCTAGAATATAGAAGATATTAAACTCAGTTTCTTATACACTCTCACTCAACACTAATAATGCAGAAGACTTCTGTGACTATATGTGAAAGGCCCTCTCCCCCTCATCAAACAAGCAATGAATTTTGTAGTGGACACCAGCTTCATGTCCTCTAGTTCAATACAGATATTGTGTACCTGGAGGTGTTAGACTCCACAGGTTGATGGCTGAGTCCTCAAGACTGCTCTCCATCCACCAACTTCTGATGACACCAAGTTATTTTGCCTGTGCTTCTGAACGATAGGCTACAAGTCGAGGTTTCCAAAACCCTCTTCTCAGGTTCAATTAGTTGGCTAGAGCAGCTCAGAGAACTCGGAAACACATTTACCAGTTTATTAGAATATTACAAAAGATAGAGATGAAGAGTTACATAAGGCAGGCCATGTGAGAAGAGTCCATTGAGGAGCTTCTATGCCCTCCCCAAGGCCTCACCCTCTGGGAACCATCACATGTTCAGCTCTCAAGAAGTTCTTTGAATCCTGTCTTGTTTGGCTTCTGATGGAAGCCAAAAGTCTTTAGATAAGCATGATTGATAGCTGAGAAGAAATGTGATAAAAAGAGTATGATCTAATACTAATAGACTAAGTTGGGAAGTCCAGCAAAGCCTTTTCGTTCAATACTTCTTCTCTGTGCAGCACCTCTTCCTCTGGGTATGGGGCAGGACCTCTTCTGAAATGAGGTTCTTATGACCTACAGTCAGACAAGGTATGTCAGAGAGTTTCCCTGTGGGCAGAAGCAAAAAGAGATTAAAATATATTTCTCGTTTCTAAGGCCTGCTTTCATCTGCTCTAAGGAGGAAGTGAAAGGTCAACAAAAGGGCAGAGAGGGAGATTGTTTTCTGACACCTTCTGAGCCCTACAGCACCCTAACATCATAACAAAACACTGCAACAAGGGCTATGAGTTATATATAATATATTGTATATATTATTATTGTGTGATAGTATCCCACTTAGACAGCATTATATTGTTTCTTTTAAATTTTAAGTTACTTAACTTCAGCTAGTTATCAAATAAAATTTTGCTTAAACACTTGCTAAATATCAACATATATATGCTTTTATTTTTGCTTTTTATTTCCCAAAATTAAGCTTGGCTTAATTTTGCTAGCAAAAACTTGCAAGGACAAATTTGTAACAAGGGCCCAGATACACATACTCTGTGGAAGGAATGCAATCCATTTATACATAAATGAATTTCAATATTAAGAGATTGGCCTACATGGGAAAACTAGAATCCTGAAACTGCTTGACTGAATGAAATATTTAAAAGTTGAGAGCTTATTAAGTAATCAATGTATTCATTTCTCACACTTCATCACTGTGAGAGTCAGAACAATTGATTCAACATGGGAAAAATGCTCAAAGCTCAAATTTGTCTTCAACTCATTCATCCACTTTCTGGATGAAAATTGCTTAAAAACCCCTGTGGATAGGCTTGAGGGAGCAATAGCAAAATAAAATCTTTATCAATAATGGCAAAGAAGAAAGGACAGGTGACAAGATGATAGAAATAGATCATGCGGCCACTTAGACAATATTTGTATTATTATTTAATTTATTGTATGATTCCAATATATGAGTGCACCAAACTCATTAAAGATATTAGAGCAATTCTTTTGAATCAGTATGCTTTTTCTTCATCCTAGTTTCAAACAAGTTTATTAATGTGTCACAAAGAACAATCTAATAATCAGTTAATGAATTATAAGAGACTCTTAGAACAAACATATTAGCATGACAGCACAGCATGTTAGGAAATGCTCAAAGGAAACATTTCAATATAATTTTTCCTTTTGTAAATGAAAAAGAACGCAGACTATTTACAAGCTGTCATTTTTTCTTCTAGTCAGGTACATACATGATACCTACATGTGCCTCATTTCATGATCAGTTTTGAGGGAAAACTAGTTATACAATAAAGAAAATTATCTTCAAAGTGAGAGAGTAGGAAAACAAGCCTAAAGAAGACTTGAAGCAGAAAAGTGAGTAGTGAATAAAAGAACATCTATGTAAGCTCATGTAGTTAGTATTTTCGCTTCAGTTTGTTAAATATCAGTGTATTAAAAGCATTGGCAAATGCAATCCCAAAATTTCTATCTTAAATTTTTTAATAGTTTATAAGATATGGGAGATATGTACTGGGAACAGAAATTAAAGTTTATTTATGAGTTGTAAAATACTTCCTAGAGTAATTTAATGAAATAACCTACTATTATCATCATTTACTTAAAGGAAGTACATTTTGCCTCTGAAATATAGAAAACTTACAACTTCAAAGTAAGTCTTACAAGAAATACATTTACATTTATAAAAATCTAACCACATAGTTTTCATATCTCATTTTTCTTTGCACATTAAGAAAATGTTACTCTTCGACATTTAGGAATCAGTGACAGATTCATTTCTAAACTTATTTGAGATGCAACTTCATGTAACATTACCAGGGATCTGTATTCCATGGGACACATTTTGGAAAACACTTCTATTTACAATGTCTCATTAAATTTTGTGATCAATTACTGTTACAAAGACACTGAAAACAAGATATTTCTCTTGAGAATAATACATCTGAAAGAAAAAAGATACATGGAATAAAAGATTTTTAAGACATATGGTAAGATAGATAGAAATCAATAAGAGCAATTTAAAAGTTAGAAATGTAGAGTTCTTCATTTGCCTAAAAACAAACAAACCACAAGAAGATGTAAATTCCTGATTTAAAAGGTTTCAGGTAAAGATGTTTTCTGTAAAAAGCAAAGTAGAAATAAACAATGTAGCATATTATTAGCCTCAACCAGCACTCAGTACACCACTATTTGTAACTCTTTAGGAAATAGTCACATCCATTCACTTACATATTATCTATTACTCCTTCCCTGCTACAATGATGGAATTGAGTAGAACTACCAGAGACAATATGGTTCACAAAGCTAAAAATATTTAATATCTGGCCTTTATTGAAAAGCATTCGCCCATCCCTGTGCTACACATAGGGAACACTCTCCACTCCCCAGATCAAGAGAAGTAACAATCTCTATGTAATTTTTGTTGCTCTGAAAACAGTGCATTCTGCAGATTTCACAGGAAACGTCACTTTGTCAGTGAAGCATTTCTGACCCAATCCATTCATTCAATCCAAATAAAGTTCCCTATGTATAAGTCATCAGAGTCATTCTTTTTTGTACCTGTATTTATCACAATTATGAACAAACATTCTGATGTTATTTAAATTTATCTTTTCTTCCTCATAAGTCAAAGCTCTATAATAGAAGATATATGACTATTTTGCATATCACTCAGTAACTGTTTATTGAGCCAACAAGTGAATAGTATAAAAATTAAATGGAATATATAAAAACAAATTAAGATAAATGTAATTAAAGAAGTAGAAACATTTCCAATATTTGGAACTATGAGGAGTTACTGTAATTAAAAAAAAAATCATTATCTCTCTCATTTATACCTAAATAGGAGAATAGATGTTGGATACATGTGACTAGAAAATGTGGTATTAGATCATGGCCAAGCAAATTTGCTAAAACTTCATCTGAAAAGTTAAACAGACTTTCACATAGATCATTTGCACTTATACAACAATAGGACTGCTACAGAGAAGTAAGCCATTTTTCCCATGGAAGGAAGAGACCAAAATAAAGCTGCTCTGCAGAAGCTGCATCTAACAACATCAGAAACACCAATTCCCACCAGTCATTTTTAGAACTTCATCAGTCAAATCAGTACTAATTCCCTCAGAAAAGGTGAGAAGGCAGTGAAAGGCAATAGCTTTATTATATGGAAAATCATTCTAAATGGTAAATATTCAATCACAGGGAAAGGAGAGTATGCTTTATACTTCCTTTTACCCTTTCCTCCTTTTACTCTGAAGGGGTCATACTTAGTTAGTTAAAAAAGGGAAATGACAGGAGAAAGTGGAGTTACACAGCTGAATGGAACATTCCAATGTTTGGCTCCTGACACAAACAGCAAATCGAACTATACCATGCAAGAAAGCACCTCCACAGGAACCGGAAAAGCAGTTGAGCAACCATAGTACTGGGTTATAACATAACAAAGAAAAAGGCATTGAAGAATGTAGGAAGGACAATTTTGCACTGTCTGAACTACCCCTCTGTGAATTCCAAGCAGCACAGGGTAGAGAGAGTGCATGCTCTTGGGGAGGGGAGAGCAAAGTGAATATGAGACTTTGCATTAGCACTCAGTGCTGCTCTGTCACACCAGAATACAATACGGGGCAGAATTCTGCTGGCATCTACAGCAAAAACCATCTACAGCAACCATGGGCCAGAGGAAAATCTGTCTCTCCAGTGAGATAAAACCAAGTCCCAGATGGCTTCACTACCAGCTGACTAACGTGGCCTGGGACAACAAATAAATTTGAGTGGCAGTCAGGCCACAGGAACTTCAGTGCTTGGTCAAGCCCTGGTGTTGTTCTACTCTCAGAGGCAGTGTAAAGGGGGTATGATTCAGTGTGGCACCAGCTGTGAAGACTGTGAGAGTGTCTGCAGCACTACTCTCCCAACTCCAGGCAATGAAGCTCATGGAGATTCCTTCTGGTTGGTGAAAGGAGAAGGGAAAACAAACAAACAAACCCAGAGGACTTTGACTTGTATCTGTGGACAAGCTTGACCACAGTAAAATGAAGAAGCAGGCAGATTTCTGAAGCTCCCAATTCCAGGCCTTTGCTCTTAGGTGGCCCAGAAAAGAATCCACTGTATAATGGGATGAACCGAGTCCTGGCAGGATTTCACCATCTTCTCACTAAAGTGCCCTTCATTCTTCAATATACATCAGCAGCACTCAGGCAGTACTGGCCATAAGCCTTGGGCAAGTCTCAGTAATGTGCTGATCTGGAAGGCTGTGAGCTTCACATGTGACCCAGCATTGTGCCAGCTGTGGTGGCCATGGGAGAGCCCATGCCACTCTTTTCCCAACTCTAGGCAATGCAACACACAGAGACTCCTTCTGTTTGGGAAAAAGAGAAGAGTGAGAGACTTTGCCTAATAAACCAAGGAATTCTTTTATCTTATCCAAGTCCACCAAAACTGTATTTCCAGGAACCTGTAAGGGTCTCACTCTTCCTGGCCTTAGGGTGCCCTCTAAAGCTAAAATGGCTGCAGTGACCACAGGCTTAAGTCACAGCACTCAATCCCTTTTGAATTCTTTGAAAGTCCTCTTAAGAAGGATGAATACAAATGAACCCAGACTGCAAAGTTTGAAATAAATACCAAAGTCTTCAATGCCCAGATATAAATAATGGTCTGCAAGCATCAGGAACCTACAGGAAAACATAAGCTTACCAAACAAATGAAATAAGGCACTAGTGACCAACCTGAGAGATACAGGGATATATGGTCTCAGAAAGAATTCAAAGTAGTTGTCTTGAATTTGCACAACGAACTTTAAGATAATACAGAGAAGGAATTCAGAATTCTGTCAGAGAAATTTAACAAAGAGATTAAAATAGTTTTCAAAAATCAAGCAGAAATGTTGGAGTTGATAAATTTGATTGAATAACAACAATTTATCAGTCTCTGTATAGTGAAACTGGTCAAGCAGAAGAATTAGAACAAAAACAAGACTTCCAACCTAGAATAGTGAACACTTCGGAGTTACCCTTCAAACATGAAGGAAAAATAATGAAAGAAAGAAAGAAAGAAAGAAAAGAGGAAGAGCGAGAGAGAGGAAGGAATGAAGGAAGAAACGAAGGGCTGAAGATTTTAGGGATTTTCTCAGGACTAGACATGTCTCACAAGAAGTGTTAAGGGAGTTCTTCAATCTGAAAGAAAAGATTGCTAACATGCAACTAATAATTATCTGAAGGTATAAAACTCATTGGTAAAATTAAGTGCAGACAAATACAGAATACTCTAACACTGTAACTGTGGTATATAAGTCATGTATATTCTGAGAAGGAAAAAGATAAACCTCTCAAAATAATAATGACAACAATTTAGGAGATATATGATATTAAAATATATACATAGAAGCAACAAAACATCAGAAAGCAGAGAGAATATAGTTAAAGTGTAGAGCTTTTCAGTTTTTTTCTTTGCTCATTTTGTTTTTCCATTGTGATTACAGTTAAATTGTCATAAACTTAAAATAATTTGTTATAAGATGTTTTCTGTGTTAACTCATGGGAACTATAAAACAGAAACCTATAATAAATAAAAAGCAATAAATTAAAATATAGTTCCATAGAAAGTCACTTTTATATAAAAGAAGACAAGAAGGAAGAAAGGGAGTACCAACAAAACAACTAGAAAACAAATAACAAAATTGCAGTAATAGGTTCTTATCTATCAATAAAAATACCAATCAAAAGACACAGAGTGGTTGAATGGATACAAATAAAATCCAATTAGATGTTGCCTATAAGAAACTCAATTAATCTGTAAAGACACAAATAGACTGAAAATGAAGGAATGAAAAAACATATTCCATGCAAACTGGAAACAAAAAGCAGAAATAGGTACACTTATGCCAGATAAAAGACATTTCAAGAAAAAAACTAAAAAGAGGCAAAGAGGGTCAACTAAAAAGGGTCATTATATAATGACAGAGGAATCAACTTAGAAGAAAGATGAAAAAAAATGTAAAGATATATGCAGTAAACACTGGAACACCCAAATATATAAAGCAAGTATTGTTAGAACTAAAGGCAGAGATACACCCTAATACAATAATAACTAGGGACTTCAACACCCCAATTTTATCACTGGACAGATCATCTAGACAAAAAAAATCAGAAAACAACAGCAGCTGTTGTATGGTACATTCTATTAATGTCTGTTAGATTCATTTGTTCTACAATGCCAGTTAAGTGTGATATTTGTTTTCTGATTTTCTACCTAATCTTCACCACACAACATAGAACAATCTCCAGGATAGACCATATGTTAGCACACAAAATAATTCTGAAAAATTTCAAAAAATTAAAATAATATCAAGTATCATTTCTGATTGCAGTGGAATAAAACTAAAAATCAGTAAGAGAAACTTTGGAAACTGTAAGCACATGGATTTTAAACAATGCACCCTGAACAATCATTGGATCAGCAAAAATACTAAGAAGAACATTTTAAAAATTTCTCGAAATACAATGTGTTAAAACTTATGGGATATAGAAAAAGCAATATTATGAGGGAAGTTTATTGCAATAAATATCTACATCAAAAAAGCAGAAAAAAGCAAACAAAATAATGATATTTCTCAAAGAATTATAAAAATGAGGGAAACCCAACCCAAAATTAGCAGAAGAAAAGAAACTATAAAGATCGGAGCAAAAATAAATAAAAATGAGACTAAAAAGTACCATGAAAATGACACAAAAATTGGTTTTTTGAAAAAAAGAACAAAATCAACAAACTTTTAGTCAGGTTAAGAAAGAGGAGAGAAGATGTAAACAAATGAATTTGGAGACAAAATAGGAGATTACATCCAATACCGCAGAAATTCAAAGGATTACTAGAGAATATTATAAGCAACTAAATGCTAATAAACTGGAACACCTAGAAAAAAATGAATAACTTCCTATACAAATAAAACCTAACAAGAATGAACTGTTAAGAAATCCCAAACCTAAATAGAGCAGTAACAAGTAACAATATGACAGAAAGGGAGAAAACTTTTGCAATCTATCCGTGTGACAAAGCTCTAACATCCAGAGACTGCAAGGAACTTAAACAAATTTGCAAGAAAACAAACGAAACACCTATATTAAAAAGTTGGCAAAGGGTGTGTGTTTTAGGCCTTCTTTACTTTGTGGCTCAAAGTTTATCTTATATATGTCCAGCCCAAGTCCTAGAATTAGCCATTTCTCTAAGGACATCTGATATCCTTTATTGGACAACAGTATTATAAACCAAGATTTGTGTGTTAAGTGAGGTCATTGCCATTGGGTTTTTATTTATTTTAGTTCCTCAAACTGGCAGAGCACAAATATAGCCATTAGAAACCTAGCTGTAACCATCTACCATCCATTTACTTAATTGTTCAATTCCTGTTAACATATTTAGCAGTATCAGAATTGTTCATGCATATTCCCAAAGGAACAAATTTTATTGACTAGAATATATTGCTTACATGCAATTTATTTTGCCTTTTGTGTTACAGACCCCACTCATTTTCCAAGTTGATTAGGCCATTACCTTTGCCACCATGTTTTCCATGGAGACTGTTTCATGCATTTGGTATTTATTTACCATTTCTTTGTCACATTCTGAACTTTGTCCTGCAATCCTTTGACTTCTTAAAGGCTCCATCTTAATTTGCATATATTAAGGTTCCACTCTTTGCTGTGAAGTGGATTTTGTCAAATGTATCATGACATGGATTCATCATTACAGTATCATACAGAAAAGTCTTATTGTCTAAAAAGCCAGTGTTCTCCATTCATCTTTACCCTACTCCGCCAAGAATCTCTGCATACAGGGGAGCAAACACTGATACTGTGTCTACTGCATTTACTAGGAATAATAAAGCTTCTTTTTCTCTGATCCAGAGATCTTGAGTTTTCTACCTGTGAATGGGTAGCAGGAGAATTTGTAAACTAGCAACTATTATAAAATTTAGAATCCCTTCTCTGTCTTGACAATGAAATACAAATACCGAATTAAAATGCACAATAGAAATAAATAGGAAACATTTAGCAAGTTTTGTAAGAATACACAGAAGTGTACCTTCATGACTTTGAAAAATGGCTTAAACAAAATACATACATAAAATTAACTATAAAACTAAAAAAAAACTGCAATTCAATTATATTTGGAAACTTAATTTCATCAGCAATATGCAGAATGGGCCTAAGGAAAATTTTATAATTAGTATTGCCAGAAATAGGTAAGGAAAGCAGAAAAAACTATTTTAGTTTATGTCATAGACATGGAAAGGAGACAGAAGTGACCTCATCTCCAGGCAGATGCAAATGCAAAATTTCTTTGGGAAGAACCAACACCAAATTAGACTCTGAGATTTTTACAATTAGTCTCAATCAATTATGGGATTAAAATCTTTTTATTTGTAGTCACTTTAGTGTAATGTGAAGTCATATTGCTCTTGTGCGTTTAAATGTCTATTTGTAATTTCTTAAGAACAAAGCCATTTTCCTACATAATCATGGTACAGTCATCAAAATGACATTAATATTCACCTAATATTATCACTTATTCTACCGACCTTTTTCATATTTTCCAATGGTCCCATTAATGTCCTTTAGAGCAAAAAACAAAACAAAACAAAAAAAAACAGAATAAACCTTGTATTCAAGAACCCTATATAACATATTGCCTTCAGTCTCATGTCTCTTTAATCTCTTTTAATCTGCAAAAATTCAGTCTTTCATTGACTTTACTTCCCTTAATAGTTTTGCAATAGCATAAGACATTTTGCAAAATGTTCCCCAGTGTGGAGCAGTCTGGCATTTCCTCAGGATTACATTACGGTTATGTATTTTTTGGCAAGCATATGACAGAAGTGATGCTGTATTCTGTTCCTTGTATTATATTAAGAAGGCTTTGATACTGGTTTGCCTCATTATTAGATAGTAACTTTGATTATTTGAATTAAGTAGCTTACACCAGTGTTCTTCACTGTAGAGCTACTATTTCTCCTCAGTGTAACCAACTTTATTTGGGGAGTGATACTTGATAAATATGTATATGTTATTATGCATCAAACTTTTACTCATTTATTTCAGCATCCATTGATAAGTATTGTCTATATTTTAGAAATGCTTATCTTTAAGCCTTATTGTTTGTTTTACTTTATTAATTGACATTAAATCATAAAAAGTTCATCCTTAATATATTCAAGCTAACTGATGTTTTGAAAAGCTAGGTCATATTTTTGCTGTGGCTTTACATTTTCTTTGAAACATTTCTTTATAGGCGGGGTGTATGTCACTTCAAAAATAAATAAGAAAATAATCTAAAACATTTTATGTATGATTTGGTTATACATTGTTTGCATGAATATGTGCCAAATGTTTTACAAATTTTGGTCTATTAAATATGGCTTCTGATCAAGAGAACTGCCCACTGAAATTCAACTACAGTGCTGAAGCACAGTCAATGAACCCATAGATTTCGATTAATTCATCAAAAAAAAAGATCCCAGTTAGAGAAAAACAAACTTATTATAATTGTTCTGTCAAATGAAATTGGCTCAAGGACTACAGATTGATGAAGTGAATTAATTAATCAATTAGTTAATCCAACTATATGTCAGCGCCACATATCTGGGTACCGTGAATCATCAAATTCATATTAAGCAACTAATTTGTGAATATACAAAAATATAATGCGGACATCGTTATCAACTCTGCCAATTTTCCTCAAGTTTTACTAGTTTCTTTTACTTCAATGGGCCATACTATACTGTGTACAATGATTACTATTTAAATATCAAACTGACACACTTGCTTTGAAACTATAGAGTGGTGCTCTAGGATTCAAACTTCTATCTCAGTTTGTGTCCATGGCATTTTCTCTATTAAATATTTTACACAAATCTGGGTAACATAGGGAGATTCCATCTCTACATAAATAAAAATTTAAAATAATTAACTAGGTGTGGTGATGCATGCCTCTATCCACAGTGACTCACAAGGCTGAGACAGGAGACTTGCTTGAGCCTGGAAGGTTGAGTCTACAATGAGCCATGATCATACGACTGCAGTCCAGCCTGGGCAACAGCAAGACCCTGTTTCAATAAATAAACAACAAAAAATATTATACAGCTGTGCCATTGTCATGAGTTAGCACTTAATGTATCTGAAAAGTGGAAGATGTTAAGAAATCACATGTACCCAAGCATATGTAAAATGTAATTATCTATATCTTACAACCCTATCATTTTATACTTATTGAAAATAACATGCAGAAATGTTGATGTGCAACATAGTTTAACTGATCAATAATATTGCAGAAGAAATCACTTTGGAGAGTATAACTGAATATCTTATCTTTAAAATGCCTTTTAAATGATTTTCTCTAAACTCAGAACACAGCTTTGAAATGCACCTTAAAATTCTGTTTCTTTCCCTTTCTCACCAGACACTCCCTTATACCAGGCATGCTTATCTAATGATATACTTGTTTAGTATACCAGGCATGGAGCAAACCAGACATGGAGACCCAACTGCAGAACACTCCCTCGCCTAGAGATTATCTCAAAGTAGATAATCTACAACCCAGTTGCAGTCAAGTTGATGCCAACTGGAACTCTGGGTAGACAGTAATTCAAGAGAGCCATCAAAAGATGTGAAGACCTACAGTCTGCACCATTTTGGCTTTTGAGCTGCGAGCAGCTAGACTTGCATTGGCTTATAATTGAACATTTTGGAAATTAGATGCTTCTGAGGCGACTTATACAATTAAACTTTATAGAATGGGCACTTCAAAAAAATGCTAAGAATGACATATTCATAAATTAATTATGTAATGTTATTCTTATTTCTTAGAAATAATTTTTAATAGTCCATAAAAATAGGGTTGTTCTAATTTAAATGTGACAGTTTAGGTTTTCCAACATATAGATTTTATTTTCTTAAGGTATTGGCTTCACTCTATCTGACTTCAAATTATACTACAAGTTCACAGTAAGCAAAACAGCATGGTACTGGTACCAAAACAGAGATACAGACCAATGGAACAGAACAGAGGCCTCAGAAGCAATACCACACATCTACAACCATCTGATCTTGGACAAACCTGACAAAGACAAGCAATGGGGAAAGGATTCCCTGTTTAATAAATGGCGTTGTGAAAACTGGCTAGCCATGTGCAGAAAGCAGAAACTGGACCCCTTCCTGATACCTTAAACTAAAATTAACTCCAGATGAACTAAAGACTTAATCATAAGACCTAACACCATAAAAACCCTAGAAGAAAACCTAGGCAAGACCATATATAGGCATAGGCAAGGACGTCATGGCTGAAACACCAAAAGCAATGACAACAAAAGCCAAAACAGACAAATGGGATCTAATTAAACTTCAGAGGTTCTGTACAGCAAAAGAAACAGTCATTAGAGTGAACTGGTAACCAATAGAATGGGAAAAAAAATTGCAATCTACCCATCTGACAAAGGGCTAATATCCAGAATCTACAAAGAACTAAAATAGATTTACAAGAAAAAAAAACCCATTCAAAAGTGGGCCAAGGATATGAGCAGGCTGACTCCTTTCAGCTGGATTTAATAAAGGCGTCACTTTTTTTTTTTTTTTTTTTTTTTTTTGAGACCGAGTTTCGCTCTTGTTACCCATGCTGGAGTGCAATGGCGCGATCTCGGCTCGGCCCAGCTACTATTAGGCATCTGCAAGAAAGAGAATCTATTAGCAACAAAGTTGCAAGACTCTCCTTTGCCTGCATGCAGAAGACAAGACTCGGAAGTGACGCCTTTATTTCATCCGGCTAAAACGAGTCAGCCTGGGTAACAAGAGCGAAACTCCATCTCAAAAAAAAAAAAAAAAAAAAAAAAAAAAAACCAACTCGTTTCAGCTGGGTGAAATAACGGCCTTTTTTGTTTTTGTTGTTGTTTTTGGACCGAGTTTCGCTCTTGTTACCCAGGCTGGAGTGCAATGGCGCGATCTCGGCTCACCGCAACGTCCGAAAGGCTCACTTTCATTTTGAGTCTTTTCTTTCGCATGTGGGCCAAGGAGAGTCTTGCAACTTTATTGTTAAGAGATTCTCTGATTGTTTTGCAGATGCCTAAGGGTAGCTGCGCCGAGCTGAGATCGCGCCATTGCACTCCAGCCTGGGTAACAAGAGCGAAACTCGGTCTCAAAAAATAAATAAATAAATAAGAAATGAAAAAAGTGACCCCTTTATTTCATCCAGCTGAAACGAGGTTTTTTTTTTTGTTTTTTTTTTTTTTGAGACCCAGTTTCGCTCTTGTTACCCATGCTGGAGTGCAATGGTTCGATCTCGGCTCGGCCCAGCTACCATTAGGCATCTGCAAAACAATCTATTAGCAACAAAGTTGCAAGACTCTCCTTTGCCGATATGCAGAAGAAAAGACTCAAAATTGAAGTGACGCCTTTATTTCATCCGGCTGAAACGAGTCAGCCTCGGTAACAAGAGCGAAACTCCATCTCAAAAAAACAAAAAAAAAAAAAAAAAAACAACAACAACAACTCGTTTCAGCTGGGTGAAATAAAGGTCCTTTTTTTTTTTTGGACGGAGTTTCGCTCTTGTTACCCAGGCTAAAGTGCAATGGCGCGATCTCGGCTCACCGCAACGTCCGAAAGGCTCACTTTTATTTTGAGTCTTTTCTTCCGCATGTGGGCCAAGGAGAGTCTTGCAACTTTATTGCTAATAGATTCTCTGTTTTGCAGATGCCTAAAGGTAGCTGCGCCGGGCTGAGATCGCGTCATTGCACTCCAGCCTGGGTAGCAAGAGCGAAACTCGGTCTCAAAAAAAAATAAAATAAAAATAAGAAATGAAAAAAGTGACGCCTTTATTTCATCCAGCTGAAACGAGTTTTTTTGTTTGTTTGTTTTGTTTTTGTTTAGTGCTAGGCGCAGCTACCATTAGGCATCTGGAAAACAGAGAATCTATTAGCAACAAAGTTGCAAGAGTCTCCTTTGCCGATATGCAGAAGAAAAGACTCAAAATTGAAGTGATGCCTTTATTTCATCCGGCTGAAACGAGTCAGCCTGGGTAACAAGAGCGAAACTCCATCTCAAAAAAAAAAAAAAAACTCGTTTCAGCTGGGTGAAATAAAGGCCTTTTTTGTTGTTTTTGGACCGAGTTTCGCTCGTTACCCAGGCTGGAGTGCAATGGCGCGATCTCGGCGCAGCTACCATTAGGCATCTGGAAAACAGAGACTCTAGCAACAAAGTTGCAAGACTCTCCTTTACCCGCATGCAGAAGAAAAGACTCAAAAAAGAAGTGAGCCTTTATTTCATCAGGCTGAAACGAGTTGGTTTTTTTTTTTTTTTTTTTTTGAGATGGAGTTTCGCTCTTGTTACCCAGGCTGGAGTGCAATGTCGCGATAAGAGAAATCCAAACTTCAAGATATACAATGAAATTTTATCTACTTCACAAGCGTGAAAAATGCACACTGTTAAATCAATTTGGCATGCCAGTAGACTATCATGACTTAAAGGAATTCATTTGATAGGTTGGCTATTAAGTTATATTTACACGGGGGTTACATTTCATTAAAGTCAAGGGTAGTTTGTGGAAAATCTCCTAGAGTATGTTACAAGTAAATTTTCCATTTGCTTATATCTTTGGATCCAAATTACTGTACACTTCTGAAAATAGCTATTAAACTCACCAAAATAAGGCTATAGAGATGTGCATTAAATGTAACTGGACTGCAGTTTAGGCCTAAAAAAAACAAAGGTTTTTTTAACCATGGAAAGCATATTAATAATGGATCCAATACTACACATATATTTGAGGGGAAAAAAATTAAAACAAATCAGTTATATTTGTCAGTATTTTGGAAGAGAATAGAAACTGAAAGGAAACATGAAAAGGCTTCTGAGGGTTTTGATCTAGGGTGCTAGTTATACACAATGCAATGTGTTTAAATGATTTGACCTACACTGTGATTTACTTGCAAGTATTTATATTATATTTCAGTAAACGGCTTTAAAGGCAAATTTAAAAATCTCCCAAATAGGGCCAAGCACAGCGGTTCATGCCTATAATCCCAGCACTTTGGGAGGCCAAGACCAGTGGATCGCCTCAGGTCAGGAGTTTGAGATCAGCCTGAACAACATGGTGAAACCCCATGTCTATTAAAAATCCAAAATATTAGCCAGGCATGGTGGTGGATGCCTGTCATCTCAGATACTTAAGAGGCTGAAGCAGGAGAATTACTTGAACCTGGCAGGTGGAGGTTGCAGTGAGCCAAGATGGTGCCACTGCACTCCAACTCCAGGCTGGGTGATAGAACAAGACTCTGTCTCCAAAATAAATAAACAAACAATTAAATAAATACAATGAGTTACGCATTTACTGTCAAAATTTTAAAAAGAATAAAGATGCAAAACTAACACATTGAGAATCTAGAATATTGGTTTTGAAAAAGGGAATCCGAGAGGAATGTGCAAGAACAAATTACAAAGTCTGGTTCACGCTTGGGGCAGGTGGAAATTTGGATTTAATTAAGGTTAGTATCACTTTATTTTCTTACTCAAATCTTCACATAATTCACAAATCAGATACAATTTGTATTCACAAGGACATGTGAGTATATTTTCTATCCTTCAAACAGAACCACAAGCAGAGAGGGATCTGCTAGAGAAAATAAACCCAATGGACTGCTCTTGTATTTTACGTAGTAGTAGGGGTCAGAAGTTGGCAGGCAATGTAAGTACAAAGGCAACAATTTCATCCTTTCACATTCTGTTTTTTGTTGTATTACTGGGACTACTTTTGGTTACGTTAGGTTACGCATGGCCATGTCCTACCATCACTGGTTTCCTACATTGTGAGGCATCCTGAAAACCGTTCACTCTGCTTGCAATGACTCCACTAATTTTACCATTGTCCTTCCCAATACTCTATGTCATGAGGCATTAGCCCCACCTAATATTGACACTAACCCCAGAACACTTACATGCTCTATAGAATGTAGAATGGCTTAATAGTTGGGGGTAGCCTTCATGTTCAGCTATTGTCAGGCATATGTGCTCTGGTATGGAGTTTGCTACAGTATCTGGGCTCAAGACATAGATTAAAGTATGTCTGAGAGGTGACCTAGGTACCTTCCCTCTTTTTTACTTCCTTATGGACTTACTGCATTTGAACAGGGTGAAATCTCCCAAAATTCGGTACTCTGCTTGTGACTAATTAAGTAGGTAATAGGATTATAAATCAATGACAAATGGCAGGCACAGAAGACCCAGGCAGAAGTCACCAAGCTACTCAGGTGTAGCGTGGTTCGTGGTTATCCCCACTCAGGTGTCCTAAATTAGAGTACACATGGAGAGTCATAGTTTCCTAATGTGTACAAGCCAGAAGCCATCTGTTAGGCAGAAGCTGAGGCAGGGTGCTGCAAGAGTGTTGACAAAAGAGTGAATGCTGGAGCAAGGAGGGACCGCACCCGGGGCGATCTACTAGGAGAAGCCAGCCCACCTCCAGAGTTCCTAATTCTCAACCTCTCCAGAGTCCAAAGCGTCAAACCCTCCCTTGGGTTTGAATTCTAAACTTTCTCCAAATTGTGTGTTGTGCTCAAGAGAAGATCCTAGAGATCTGGCTGGACTTTTTCCAGAGGCCTGCAGCTAGAGGCCTGGCAGAATGCTCACTTATTCCTTAAAACAAGAGAAGATTGTGCCTCATATTTGTTTTGATCTTTCTTCTTTCTCACTTAAGCCAGTAGGCTATTTTCTCAATTCTTCCACAGCTATTTCAAAGTCTATAGATTACATTTATAAAACAAAAATACTGGTCTTGGCTTTTTGTGTATGTGTGTACATGCACATGGGTTAGTAGAGATATAAAAAGTAAATGCAAGTGATCTTTTACTAGAAACTAGATCAACAAAATGTGTAGGAACTATGCTATGTAATAATGAGTAACATTTGGAAGAGTCATTATGAACAGTGCATGAGGTCATGAAAACTATTCGCCCGGATGCCTCACTTTTTCTCCAAGAGGATGGCAAAGGGCACTCCTCAACTTTATAGGGCAGCATTAAAATAGAAAAGTGCCTCTTCTGAACTTGAAGTGTCTTTTTTAACAAGGAAGACTGCCATGTCTCCTGCCCTACATAAGTATTTGTTTACATGGATACAATATGTACAATAAGTTCTATGTAAAAATTACTTGGACAGCTGGACTGTGTCTCCACATCTGGCTGTTCAGCCTATTTCAGTCACCTCACACGAACTCCCATAACCTCTACTTTGTCATCTACCTAAAGCTTAACTGGTTCACAAAGAAGAAACCTGAAAAAAGTTATGTCTGAACTTATTAGTGTGGAACATGAGATGTGTATGACTCAGTGGACTATGAGCTAGAGAAGTGTAATGACTTTATTGTCACATTTACCAGCTTACCCCTGGAGTACATTATTGATGAGGTACACACACACACACACACACACACACTCCTTAAAGATAATGCAGATTCATTTCCAGGCCACCACAATAAATTAAATATTATAATAAAGGGAGTCACACAAAATTTTTGGTCTTCCAGTGTATACAAAAGTTATGTTTATATTTTACTGTGGTTTATTGTGTGCAATATCAGCATGTTTAAACACAATCTACATGATTTAATTTATAATACTGCTAAGAAATGCTAGTGCTCAGAAACAAATGACCTGTTAGACATCAGAGAGAAATGACCAAGGAAACTATGAGTGAGGCACAAGGCATTCACTCTTTACTCTTACTGGGAGCCTGGTTCCAGCTCTGGACTCAACAGAACGTGGGCAAGAGCACATGCGTCTGAGCCAGTGAGTTGGGTCTTGGCTGGGGTGTAAGCCCCAGAGGGTGGAGGGTAGGAGGAGAGAGAGGAGCGGAAAAAGTAACTATCGGGTATTAGTTTTGGTACCTCGGTAATGAAATAATCTATACAACATGTGCTTATATAAGAAACCCACACACATACTCCTGAAACTAAAAGTTTTAAAAAATAAGTGTTGGCCAAAGTCAAACCAGAATAATCCGCGTGTAGGGTCATGGTTAGCTTATAGGTTAAATACTCGGTGGCCTTTAGGTTCTGATTAAACTCAATATGTTGCCAAATTTCCTTCCCAAACCATATAATCTTTTGCATCTGCCCATTTGTGACTGCAGAAGCACGATGCCAGTTTTCACTGCTAGCTTGTGGTTTTTGTTTTGAACTCCAAAAATCTTAACTTATTAATTGAAGCTTTCTGTTTTATTACATGGACTTAGAGGTCAAG